TACACACCAAACTAAGCATGTGCAGAGTGACTCCTAGAGCTCTGTACTCTCAGCAGATGGATTGGGGACAGTAGAAAAAGGGGAGCATCAGAGAAGACCAGATCAAACATCCTTTTTACACAATGCAGAGAATTAATCCCTTCCACAGTGAGTATAACAAGCATGCTGATTTTACTGTTGTGAGTTTAGTAACACTTTAACGTGTTACTAAACCCAGGACCCTGCATTTGCTATATCTGATCTCCCACAGTACACAATTTTAGTAAATATAAACTGCAAAATATACCTAAAAAAGTATTTTAGCAGTCTTGTGACTTCTATCAGTGTCCAGCAGAGCACTGGTTAAAGCCCCATAGGAGGAGTTTTCATTCTCCACTGATTGTCCTGTGAGACTGCCTAACTCCTGACCCTCTGTCAGACAGCGCCAATTGGCCTTGTGCTGAACACATGCACTCTTCCAAGAAAAAAAAAAACCTCTCTAGCAATACACACCAAACTGAGCATGTGCAGCTTGCCAAACCCCCCACCAAGGCTCTGTTTTATAAACAGATGAATGGGGGACAGTACAAGAAGAGGAGGATCAGAGAAGACAGGATCAAACAGCCTTTTTACACAATGCAGAGGATTAACCCCTTTGGTTCCACAGTGAGTATAACAACCATGCTTTACTGCATATACAGACTGATTTTACTGTTGTGGGTTTAGTAATACTTTACATTCTCGTAACATGAGTCAGGCAAGGTCAAATTCAAGGCTCCTTATAACAATAACAAACGTATCCATGGTCTGTAACCATTATCTCAGTTTCATTTAGAAACATATCCATTATTGGGAGAGTTTGGCACTTGTATTGTCTATAAAAGCTGGTCCAAGCTGTAATAAGCAGAGCACCAATTAGTACATGGAATCTCCAAACCAGACAGTAGATGGCAGCATTACAAATAAAATGGAACCAACAACAGCTTCTGGAGCTTCTATAGCTGTCAGGTATCCTTCACCTCACTCACAGCCATTGATTTTATGGAAAAAAAATATTTTCAGTACTTGGTAGACTAGTAAATTCTGGGTCGTGACACAATAAAGAGGTTTCATAATTTAAATATATGAGACTGATTGGGTGGTTTATATGTTATTATATAAACCTTCAGTTTTTTAAGCACTTTTCAGCAACTGATTTTATCACTTGCTGAGAATGCTGCTTCTTTATTTTTTTATCCTTGACCATATTCCAGTTTAAGCTGGTGCCACAATCACTGCCCCAGGTTACCTGTTTCAGGGTGGCTCCTTTCTCCTATGGAGTCACCCTTGCATGCAGGGACTAGTGTCTTCCTACACTGTGTGCATCAATGGAAACACACAGCTAAGGATGGCAAGGCACTCCCCTGTTCCTCCCACCTCTAAGCTAACAGACTGAGACTGCACTGTCTATTGTTGACTCTTTCTGAACACTGTGCTGTACATGTTATATTCCACACTGACTCATTCTGTACACTGTGCTGTACATGTTATATTCCGCACTGACTCATTCTGTACACTGTGCCGTACATGTTATATTCCCGCACTGACTAAATCTGAACACTGTGCTGTACATGTTATATTCCGCACTGACTCATTCTGTACACTGTGCTGTACATGTTACATTCCACACTGACTCATTCTGTACACTGTGCTGTACATGTTATATTCCACACTGACTCATTCTGTACACTGTGCTGTACATGTTATATTCCGCACTGACTAAATCTGAACACTGTGCTGTACATGTTATATTCCGCACTGACTCATTCTGTACACTGTGCTGTACATGTTATATTCCGCACTGACTCATTCTGTACACTGTGCTGTACATGTTATATTCCACACTGACTCATTCTGTACACTGTGCTGTACATGTTATATTCCCACTGACTCATTCTGTACACTGTGCTGTACATGTTATATTCCGCACTGACTAAATTCTGAACACTGTGCTGTACATGTTATATTCCGCTCTGACTCATTCTGTACACTGTGCTGTACATGTTATATTCCACACTGACTCATTCTGTACACTGTGCTGTACATGTTATATTCCACACTGACTCATTCTGTACACTGTGCTGTACATGTTATATTCCACACTGACTCATTCTGTACACTGTGTTGTACATGTTATATTCCACACTAATTCATTCTGAAAACTGTGCTGTACATGTTATATTCCACACTGAATAATTCTGAAAACTGTGCTGTACATGTTATATTCCACACTGAATAATTCTGAACACTGTGCTGTACATGTTATATTCCACACTGACTCATTTTGTACACTGTGCTGTATATTTTATATATCACACTCTTCCATTCTAACACTGTGCTGTACATTCCCTATTCCAAACGTCTTTATTCTGTATGTATGCAGGCTGAACCCTGCTTAAGAAAGTTAGATACCAGACTGGGTTGGGTAAGGGTTAACTCTTGGTCACCGGTTCACAGGGTTTTTTTTGAGTTTCAGCCAGCCCACCTGTGGCATAAATTGGGAGAAGGCTGAGGCCTGAGAGTCGCTGATGGAGCCATTGTGAACCAATCAGCTGAAGGATAAGATCTGTGCTCCTGCTGATCTCAGCTACCAGAGAGGATGAACTATACCAGACTCCCAGGATTCCACCGGTCATGGACCATGTCTGCGACAATGGACCCGCCAGTATACCTGGACTCTCGTTGTATCATGTCTGCACTAAAAGAAGAAGAGTGAAGGCTGCTAACCTTTTCCTGAGCCTGGTCTGAAGTTATTCCTAATGGGGTGCACAATGGAGATGGCATATACAAGAACCTGCACCAGCACTAAGGGGCATGAAATGAAAATGAACCCTCCCCGGGTGCAGCTGATGTTAGGTACAGGGGTGCACCAATGGAATCACTATTGCTGGCCATCCAGGCGTTTCCTCACTGAGATTGTTGGCACCCGCAGCATCTCTTACCACATTGCCTACCCTGCTACATTGGAGCTGGGAAAGTTTCTGCTAGGCTCCTCCTCGGCTCTGACGTGGCTGATGACAGATCATGAGAAGGAGCCTGAGAGGAAGAACATCTCCCCCACTGCATCGAGCTGCACTGTATCTGAGGTCTGTGTTGGGAGATGGGAGAAGAGAAATAAGAAATAAGAGAAATAAAAGCATTTATTGTGGCATTTGTTTGGGAAGGGGGATGGGGGCTGTGCTGGGAGGGAAGGAGGATTTATACTAGAAGGGGTGATGGGGGACTTTTTCTAGAAGGGGGAAGACAATCCTGTCAAGCATGAGGATTTGGGGGTGGAACCCTGCACTCTGTACGTAGCACCCTCTTGAACTCTGCACTCTGTATGCTGCACCCTCCTGAACCCTACACTCTGTATGCTGCACCCTCCTGAACCCTGCACTCTGTACTTTGCACCCACCTAAACCCTGCACTCGGCACCCTCCTGAACCTTGCACTCTGCACTCGACACCCTCCTGAACCCTGCACTCTGTACGCAGCATCCTTCTGAACCCTACAAACTGTACATAGCACCCTCCTGAACCCTGCACTCTGTACTCAGCATCCTCCTGAACCATGCACTCTCTACGTAGCACCCTCCTGAACCCCTCACTCTGTACAAAGCGCATTCCTGAACTCTGCACACTGTATACAGCACACTCCTGGTATTTAATACCCCTTTAGGACCCTCCCACACCCATATACTGTGGCATATATGGGTGGAAGGTGGAGGACGTGGTTGAGTTCCTGCACCTATTCTCCAAGAAAAAAAGCCCTGCCTATTCCACACTGACTCTTTCTGTACACTGAGCTGTACTTTTTATATTTCACACTCCTCCATTCTAAACACTGTGCTGCACATATTCTCCCCCTCCACAGATCTGTACTTACCTTAATATCACCGCTGTGTCCTCTTCAGTCCTTAAACCTTCCCTGCTAATTAGGGTGTTTTTACAAAGGCATTTTTTACAAATACAATAATGTCTTTTGGGGGGGCCCAATTTTTCACTATGGGGCCTTGTGATTTCTAGTTACGCCCTTGCTGCTCACCTTATTCACACAGACTCATTTGTTTATGCGCCCAGAGTGATATCCCATGACTTTTTGTCCCAATAAATCTCTCCAGTAAGGACACAGCAATAAAAATTCTTCATGTCCTATTCAAAATTGAACAAAATTTTGGTTATGGCTCATTCACTTGCTCAGCCAGGGAGCGATAAAACCAGCTGGTTTTACTGCCCCCCGATCACCCACCTGAACAAAGACCTGCAGCTGCCCAGGGCTGTACACGTGTTGCGGCTGCACATATGTGAACAAATCCTTAGAGATGCACTTGATCAACTGATCTCACCTCCTGACCATTTTCCATGTAAATTTGGCAGTAGGTTAATCTCTGGATTTGTGATTTTTCATCATCTACTCAGTCTTGATTGCCCAGATTTGTGACAGGTTTATGAAAGGTATAATAAAGCGTGTGATACATAAATATATTTGTATGTATAAAAAGGTCCCCTGTTGTGTGTTTTCAATGTCAGCAGACTGTAGAACACTATTATTCCTGATTAGTGCTGCTTACAGGCTCTACCTCCAGGTATTCTTAAAGTGTATATAAACCTTCACCTTGTAAAAAAGCCCATTCAGTTTAAAAAAGAAATGCAAGGCAAAACATATGTGTATAGATATAAAAAAAAATATACACAAGATCACATATTCTCTGTCTTCAGCTGCTTAAGGGGCTTAGAGAATTGAGGGTGGAGACTGCAGGGGAGGCATGTGAGCTGGAGGCCAAGATAGAGCAGTACACTGATATTCCCGGTAAAGAGCTATGAAGGGGGAAGGTCAGCACAAGTCTTGACCATTGGAGGGCAGTCAGGCTGAGCTCCCAGCACAGCTAGAAAACTGACCACACTGGGAAAAATGTGCTCTCTCATGCCTAGTGTGGTCAGTTTGTAATAGGAAAGCAGAGGAACAGGCAGAATCAGCTGGTATTTTACTCAAAGGAAGCAATACACAGAGTATAGGATACTTTTAAAACAAGTAAATGGTACAGCAGTAATTGTTCTCTGCTCCCTTCTGCAGGTCTGTCAATTAATGGCTAAGGAAGGAAATCCTGTGATAGTAATGATGCCAGGGCTTTGAGGCACCCTCTAAAATTATGCACAGTCCCGAGGCACCCTCCAAAATTATGCAGAGTCTTGAGGCACCCTCTAAAATTATGGACAGTCCTGAGGCACCCTCTAAAATTATGGTCAGTCCCACAGCACCCTCTAAAATTATGGACAGTCCCGAGGCACCCTCTAAAGTTATGGACAGTCTTGAGGCACCCTCTAAAATTATGGACAGTCCCGAGACACCCTCTAAAATTATGGACAGTCCCGAGGCACCCTCTAAAACTACGGACAGTCTTGAGGCACCCTCTAAAATTATGGACAGTCCCAAGGCACCCTCTAAAATTATGGACAGTCCCGAGGCACCCTCTAAAATTATGGTCAGTCCCACGGCACCCTCTAAAACTATGGACAGTCCCGAGGCACCCTCTAAAGTTATGGACAGTCTTGAGGCACCCTCTAAAATTACGGACAGTCCCGAGGCACCCTCTAAAATTATGGACAGTTCCGAGGCACCCTCTAAAACTACGGACAGTCCCGAGGCACCCTCTAAAATGATGGATAGTCCCGAGGCACCCTCTAAAATTATGGACAGTCTTGAGGCACCCTCTAAAAATTATGGACAGTCCCGAGGCACCCTCTAAAATTATGGACAGTCTTGAGGCACCCTCTAAAATTATGGACAGTCCCGAGACACCCTCTAAAATTATGGACAGTCCCAAGGCACCCTCTAAAACTACGGACAGTCTTGAGGCACCCTCTAAAATTATGGACAGTCCCGAGGCACCCTCTAAAATTATGGTCAGTCCCAAGGCACCCTCTAAAATTATGGACAGTCTTGAGGCACCCTCTAAAATTATGGACAGTCCCGAGGCACTTCATTCTAAAATGTAAAAACTATTCTAAAAGTTTTATATAATGCAGCAACATCCACACACGTAGCAAACCCAACATTAGAGGGGATTTATTCTTCCAAAGAAAATACACTTTTGCACACTGGAGCCGACTAGTATTCCATTGTTTCCCTTCTGGCTCAGTTTTTCTCCATCACTGAGCTAATGTGACCCCACGACTGATGGAGAGGGGCAGGGGAAGGTCAAACAAGGATGCTGTGCAGGCAACCAACATCCTCCTTATCAACTGATAATGGCATTGGTTGTCAGGACGCTGGCGGCAAGAAGGTCATAATGGTGCACAATGAAAACCTGTGGCTTTGTGTAACTAAAAGGCAGGCTTGTTCCACCTCTGGCTTGTAGAAAAGTTTGGGGCAATTTTTAGACAAGGCACCCCTGAAAAAACCTCAAGGCACCCCAGGGTGCTTGGGCACCCTGGTTGAAAAAGGCTTCTCTAGTGCACGCCAACACTCCAATGCCTTAGACCCAATAGAACACTTGCATATCAACAATAGTATTTTTCAGTAATGCGTCATCCTCTTAATCTCAAATCTCAAAGCAAAGTCTAGGAACATGACACTACACCACATCAATAGTATGAAAACATTGCTGTGTAGGAGAGAGAAGAGTGATAAGAAAGAAAGAAGAATAGTTATGAGATCAAAGAGAGGGTACAGTTTCAGATGGGATTTTCCTCTGAACACTCTGCAATGACCGCTGTATAGTAGACAAGATCGTCCTCAGTGAATAATCCCGAAGATGTCACCATTTGCAGACCTTATTGCACTCTTGAAGAGTGTAAGATTCTTCAAAATTCTGGCCAGTAAGGGTAGGTTGTTCAATTTTTCTTCCATTTAGGGGTTTCAGACATCTAGCTGCCTTAAGTATATGGGAGAGCACTCTTTTAGCAGGTTTAGAAACGTTTGATGGGAGTATTCCCAAAAGATACATTTTAGACTTGAAGGGAATCCTGTTGAAGATTTCATGAACCAAAGAATGAACAGATTCCCAGAAAACCGTAACATTTGTACAGTACCACTAAATACGCTCTAGGGAACCTATTTCTCTTTTACACACCAACATCGCCTATCAATGGTAGATGGGTAAATGGTATGTTGGTTTTCCAGGGTGTTATGCCAGAAGAAAATTATTTTAGAGATGCTTTCTCTGTATAGTTTACAAATGTAAGTTTTAGTTGTCTGTGACCAAATGTTTTATCAGGTATTCAAAGACAATTTCTCCCCTTTCTGATCTTTTCATATATGGATGTTTAAATGAATCCTGTATGGATATTATTAATATTCATAATAATAATAATAAGTGCTATATACATTTCTAACATAAATCCTATATGAGAGGGACCTATCAAGGAAATCTTCTGAAGGGGGTCAGTTTGGAGAATTGTAAAGAGTTGGAAATTCGTCTGGGGAAAATGCTTGGTTTGGCTAATCAAATTTCTGTTGAAGTTTTGCAAATAAAAGTAATTTTCTAGTTCTAGTGTTGACTGTATGGCCAAATTAACATAATGCCATAGACATCCACAGCGAAGACATTTGCGAAGTCAGGTTGTCCAGAAACTTTGGATTCAAGAGAAATTACATCATTCAGGAGGAGTTTAACGAGTTTTAGGAGAATATTGGTTCTTTGCATGACCCAGACAGAAATAACATAGTGTGGAGCATATTGGAAGGATGTACCACAGCACTGAGCATTGGGGTGGATGAGCGCCAACCACATTTTTTTCAACTTCATTTCATCTATTATAGGTGTGTAGAGTAGACCAGGAGGCCAATATCCCCAAAATGGATAGCTTGATGGTATTCAAGTAAAATTGGAAAGGCAACAATTCCTTGGTTGTGAAAGGCATACAAAGCAGCATTGGATATCCTGTGACATTTAAAAATCATGTAAAAAAATCATGTAAAATTCAGCAGATCTATTTGTAACTTTTCAAGGTGGGAGGTTAGAGATAGGTAATTGGTAGAGTTTCAAAGAGAGGCAACTTTTTTGGTAAAATGATTACAATAGTCAGTTGTAATTTTTTCTCTGAAAGACACATTAGTGCTGTGTAATTTTCTTCTTTGTTTCAACAATCAAAATGAATTCAAAGCACATGCTGCCATCTATTTAAATAACTGCCAAACAAACCAATTGGATCTCCCCCAAAAATGAATTAAAAAATCAATTGACAGAGATGGTCCATGTCCAGTCTAATATTCTATAGATCTGATTAGAATGTCGAATCGTCCAGATTATCAATTGAATGGAAAGTGTAGTAGTACACAATTCAAAATTTGCTGTGATTTGATGTCTTATAGCAGTAGTATACTCATTTAAATGTACCTATAAAGCTTGTAATAAACCTTACCCGTAGGTATGGTGAATATCTCCCAAGCCTGTGCTGTTTAGGAGACATTCATATTATCTCAAGGCACATGAGCAATGACGTGCTATATTCAGGGTACATGGAGTGTGCTGTGAATGCAGAACATTTTGCTACTATGATGACTCCCATTTGTATGCATGACCAACCATTCAAACGCGTGAATCCAGAAGGAAGACCAGGCAAAGATTGGAGCACCAGAAGCAGTGACAGCACAGCACTGGTGGGCTACATTTTTAGTGTAAGTCTGCCATAATGTGCTAGTATGCAGTACATTATGGCATAATACTGAATACTGAAGGGGGCCCATGTAAATATTTGTATTGTTTCTGATTATCTCCTATGGTCGTCAGCTCCATCTAGTGGCCATGATACAGTTTTTTTAAGAGAATACCACTGTGATGTACAGTTACCTGGAGGAGCCTGAAGAGATGACAGCCGCATTTACACCTCAAGCTCAGTACCCCTGGTAAAGCCTCAGTGTACAGAGCCCCAGGGCACAGAATGGCACAAGTGTTTTGTAGTTCTTGCCAGAAGCTGGTATAGGTAGAGAGGCAGCACAGTGGCTAAATGGTTAGCACTTCCGCCTGGCAGTACTAGGGTCGCTGGTTCGAATCCCAACCACGGCTCCACCTGCCGGGATTTTGAATTTTCTCCCTGTGCCTGTGTGGGTTTCCTCCGGGTACTCCGGTTTCCTCCCACACTCCAAAGACATGCTGGTAGGTTCATTGGATCCTGTCTAAATTGGCCCTAGTATGTGTAAATGTGAGTTAGGGACCCTTATATTGTATGCCCCTTGATGGTTAGGGACTGATGTGAATGTACAATATACAGTGGGGATCGAAAGTTTGGGCACCCCAGCTAAAAATTTGTATTAATGTGCATAAAGAAGCCAAGGAAAGATGGAAAAATCTCCAAAAGGCATCAAATTACAGATTAGACATTCTTATAATATGTCAACAAAAGTTAGATTTTATTTCCATCATTTACACTTTCAAAATAACAGAAAACAAAAAAATGGTGTCTGCAAAAGTTTGGGCACCCTGCAGAGTTAATATCTTGTACTGCCCCCTTTGGCAAGTATCACAGCTTGTAAACGCTTTTTGTAGCCAGCCAAGAGTCTTTCAATTCTTGTTTGAGGTATCTTTGCCCATTCTTCCTCATAAAAGTCTTCCAGTTCTTTGAGATTTCTGGGCTGTCTGTCACGCACTGCTCTTTTAAGGTCTATCCATAGATTTTCAATTATGTTGAGGTGAGGAGATTGTGAAGGCCATGGCAAAACCTTCAGTTTACGCCTCTTGATGTAATCCCCCGTGGATTTCGAGGTGTGTTTAGGATCATTATCCATTTGTAGAAGCCATCTTCTCTTTAACTTCAGCTTTTTCACAGATGGCATCAAGTTACCATCCAAAATTTGCTGAAATTTTATTGAATCCATTTTTCCTTCTACTCGTGAGATGTTCCCTGTGCCACTGGCTGCAATACAACCCCAAAGCATGATTGATCCAACCCCATGCTTAACAGTTTGACAGAGGTTCTTTTCATTAAATTCTGTGCCCCTTCTTCTCCAAACGTACCTTTGCTCATTCCGGCCAAAAAGTTCAATTTTAACCTCATCGGTCCACAGAACTTGTTTCCAAAATGCATCAGGCTTGTCTATATGTTCATTTGCAAAGTTCAAACGATGATTTTTGTGGTGAGGACGTAGAAGAGGTTTTCTTCTGATGCCTCTTCCATGAAGACCATATTTGTACAAGTATCTCTTTATAGTGGAATAGTGTACCACAACTCCAGTGTCTGCCAGATCTTTCTGGAGGGATCGTGCAGTCAAACGTGGGTTTTGAATTGTTTTTCTCACAATCCTGCGAGCTGTTCTGTCTGATATTTTTCTTGGTCTTCCATATCTTGCTTTAACTTCCACTGTTCCTGATGACTGCCATTTCTTAATTACATTCCGAACAGAGGATATTGACATCTGAAAACGCTTTGCTATCTTCTTATAGCCTTCTCCAGCTTTGTGAGCGTCAACTATTTTCAGTTTCAGTTTTCTAGACAACTACTTAGAAGAACCCATGGTGCTGATTGTTGGGGCAAGGTCAGATGAGTCTGGGCATTTAAAACCTTTGAGATTGACGTAACCTTGTCTTCCGAGACGATGATTGAGAACAATCCATGACACTGGCAGGTCTCAGCTTTGCCAAGGGGGCAGTGCATGCTATAAATTCTGCAGGGTGCCCAAACTTTTGCAGACGCCATTTTTTTGTTTTCTGTTATTTTGAAAGTGTAAATGATGGAAATAAAATCTAACTTTTGTTGACATATTATAAGAATGTCTAATCT